ATTTCATCTATCAGTTGAGGTGGTTGGGACATAACAGCTCGCGAGACCAAATTGTTAGACTATTAGAAACTTGGAAGCACTAAAAGATGGCCGACGTTCCGTTCCAGTGTGAGACTAATACTCATCAGCAGTGAGCATCTACGACTCCGGCTACTCACAGGATTCTCCATAAATCCATAATGTAAAAATCATAATTTGTTAGGATATATATTCATCCAATATCCTGAGAGAATTATTTGTAAGTCTAATTTCTACCGGTCAATTCCTATTGGTTAATTCCTACTGGTTGATTCTAAGTGGTCAATATTATGGTCGTCCTAACTATCAATGTCACAGACTTCAAATGTTGTTTCCTAATCGACCTAACTGTATAAATATGCATTATCTGTAACGTCGTTTTATGACCCGGATCCCTAGTCCGGATTCCTCATCCTCTTCTAGACTCGGATCTTGTACTTTCTGGATATATGTAGAATACAGGTTATACTTCATATCAACTCTTCTTCTTTTACTCACTGAGGGGTTGGGACGATCGGATTAGAGTAGCATGTCGTGTTGCCGGTTCCTCGATCCTCGTTCTTCTTTACTAACTTGGGTAAACTCGTAATAGTTCTAGCTTATCAAAATGACTTATTTACGTGTATGCGTAACATAATTTACTTACTTACTTACTTACGCCTGTTACCCACAATGGAGCATAGGCCGCCCACCAGTTTTCTCCAACCTAATCTGTACTGGGCTTCCCTCTCCAGTTCTGTCCAATGTTTGTTCATTCTTCTCATATCTTTCTCTATTTCTCGGCGTAATGTATTCTTTGACCTTCCTCTTTTCCTTTTGCCTTGAGGGTTCCATGTGAGGGCTTGTCTCGTGACGCAGTTAGGTGCTTTCCGTAGTGTGTGTCCTATCCACTTCCAACGCTTCTTCCTAATTTCCTCCTACACTGGAATCTGACTTGTTCTCTCCCACAGTTCGTTGTTTCTGATGGTGTCTGGCCAACGAATCCGAAGTGTTTTGCGTAGACAACTGTTAATAAACACTTGTATCTTCTGGATGATGGCTTTGGTAATTCTCCAAGTTTCCGCTCCATACAGTAGAACTGTCTTGACATTTGTATTGAAAATTGTGATTTTGATTCTGGTTGAAAGTTGTTTGGAGTTCCAGATATTTTTCAACTGTAGAAATGCAGCCCTTGCTTTGCCAATCCACGCCCTCACATCCGCATCGGACCCACCTTGGTTGTCGATGATGCTGCCAAGATATGTGAAGGTGTTAACGTCCTCCAAGGCATCTCCATCAAGAGTGATTTGGTTGGTGCATGTTGTGTTGCATCGGAGAATTTTGCTTTTTCCTTTATGTATGTTGAGACCTACTGCTGCAGAGGCTGCTGCTACACTGGTCGTCTACTCTTGCATTTGTTGTTGCGTGTGTGATAGAAGAGCCAAGTCATCTGCGAAGTCCAGATCGTCCAGCTGCGTCCTAACTGTCCAGTTGATACCGTGATTCCCTCCAGATGTTGATGTTTTCATAATCCAGTCGATTGATGACCAGGAGAAAGAGAAAGGGTGAGAGTAAGCAGCAACCTTGCCTGACACCAGTCTTCACCTCGAAAGAGTCTGTTAGCTGTCCTTCCTGTATGATTTTGCAGTTGAATCCGTAATCATAAGAGTTCCATATGATGTTGACTATTTTCTCAGGCACACAAAAATTACATATAACACAATATTCAAGATTCACTAACAGCTTGAACTTACCACGATTTGTATTCAATTGACTACGATCATCATCATCATGTTTAACAGTGCTGGTATTCAATGTATCATTGTCAAGAAAACTTGCAAAATCTTTGCCTAAAAATGATGCCATTACATTGTCAAAATTCATACTGGACAATACATCGTCATGATTATTATTATTATTAGTTTCAGACAATGATGGTGTCGGGGTTGTAGTGTTGATTGGTTTTGTTTTTAGCGCTGTTGTTGTTGTTTTAATGGGATGATGATGATGATTCAATTTCGATTGAACATGATCTAAAAAAAATAGGAAAAAAAGAAGTAACTCATTTGGTGTTAGTTTTTTTTTCGAAAAAATTTCTTACAAACTGTTGGGGATGTTAGATCCTCAAAACTCGCTTGTTAAAAAATGCCTTATTTTCTGGATTTCAATTTTGTCAGCATGGGCTGATCAGTTGACGTTGAGATTTCAATTCCCACCAGGGAAATCCGTGGCTGTGATTGGCTGCTGTGTATTTTAGTGTGCTATTTTCGTAACTATCCCAAGTACGTTTCTATGATGTATAAATAAACGAAAGTTGTATGCTTGATTGTACTGTGATTGCTGGATGTTTGTAGAATATACTTTCTACGCTTACAAAGACTTCTTACTTTATTTGGGGATTCAAGGTAGCCTATCTGGACGCTGGTAATTGGCTCGTTCGCATTTATCGACTAAATGACGAACTCAATACAAACTGATAATAATAGGTGTAGAATTTATTATGCTCATCAATGGATATGCTTGAATGCTATTACGAGTTCATCTTAGTCGGTAAACGAGAGCGAAGACAAATGACCCAGTGACACGATAGGCTACTCTAATCCGAGCGTCTCAATGCCTCCACTAAGTAGACGAAGAAGTTTTGATATATGGCATAGAAAGTGCATTCTACAAGCAAACAGAAAATATGAGGATGACAAGCGCATGAATCGATTTTATCTATAAATCAATAGAAACGTACTTGAGACAGCCACAAAAATAGTGTACATACATCAACCAATAATAGCCAAAGATTTTCTCGATAGGAAATGCAATCTCAAGGTCAACTGATCAGCTCATGTGCTAAACTAAAACATAAAATCCAAACCTTTATCAAGTGAGTTGTTCTGGAGATCTAACGTCCTCAACAGGACTGTTTGGGGATGTTAAAATAGGCTGAACTAGTGTTTTTTTCCTAATAGAGAGCTATTGTATTATATGAAAATGTCAAGACTAGATACAGTTAATTTACGAAATATGTGTACATAGATTTGAATCATCGATTTGCGATCCAAGCAGGTTATTGATTGCGCTCTCTCTTCCTCTCTCGCAACTCTTCTTCTAGTCGTCAAACCGATGGTTGGAAACCTTGAAAATCATTTGCAAAGGCACGGATGCATTCATTTTTTGAGTTCTCTCAAATGATTCTAATCTTCTGCGATGAACTTCTCGAATGATATATTCGATCACTAATATTTTTGATTACCGCTAATACTTCTACTACCTCTACGGCCACGGTATTCGAACTGACAATACGTGCTCTGTGTGTGCTAATGTGGTATGTTGACTTGAACTAATGATGTACATCGGTACGACGTTCAACGTTGTAACTAATTAACTGACTGACTATTTACAATGTCATATTCAATTTCAAAGAGTGTACCAAGGTTACGATGATCACGTGGACCTCACACACACATGGTGGTCTACACACCTAGTCTACAAATGTTTTAGTTGATTTTTTTTCTTCATCAAAACAACTTTTAAACTGTAAACAATCAAAAAAAAAACAGTCCTCTAAAACAGAAAATGATCTTAATCAAGTAAACACCAATCATAATCAGAATAATCAAAAAAATATTGACAACATTATATCACTAACAATAACATACTTGTCTGTAGCATAGAATCGCCTAGAAATGGTGTAGACAATGGTGATATCGAAGATGATGTTGAAGATGAAGAGGATGACGATGAATGAGTACGATTTGTAGTTTTATGCTGTTGACTAGTAGTAGTAGTAGTATTACTAGTACTAGTAGCAGTAGTATTATGATGATTAGGGAATAATGATGAATATTTTTGTCGTAATAAACTTGATGAAGAAATTTTTTCATGAGTGGGATTTTTTTGATCAGTTGATAAATTAACTAAAATTGATGATGGTGATAGAGTTTGATGTCTAAAATTACAACAACAACAATAACAAGAAAAGTTGGACAATTTTGCGATTTTATTCTCAAAAGTGAAAAAAAAACCCCCCATAAAAGTTAGACTAACACACACATTCAAATCTTTGGAAATGTTCCAGTACAAGATTGAAGCTATTGATTTCGATTTGTATGTACAGTTGAGTTGTAGATGAGGATTGTCGTTGAAGAGTCTTATACTATGGTAAAACAATCTATCCAATGCTTTAAGGTCTATCTTAGATCAGACAGACAGACAGACAGATACAACACAGAACTTCGTATGTAAGTACATCAGTTCAGGTTGCCATACTAGCACATCAGCACACAGAGACGCAACTGTCAGTTCAAATCCCATAGTGGTAGAGATAGTAGAAGTAATGGCAGTAATAGAGAAGATTAGGGAGCGAAGATATGATTCGAGCGAACTGCTGTACAGTACACTCGTCCTTTAGTCAGCAAACGGATATCTCGCTTGCGCCATAGGTGACTCAGGTTGGCAAAAGCCAATCGAGCCTTCTTTATCCGAGCTGAGACTTCGTCAGTCACCAGGTCATCAGCGCTGATGAGACTCTCAAGATAAGTGAAGCAGTCTACAATCTTAGATCAGCTTGTAATTTAATGAGTTCATTTTATGTTAGAAGGAAGTTAGGTACGATTTATGAGTAAAATGTATCGGTAATCCTAAACCAACTGATATTTCCTGTTGATAATCCCTATCGATCAAGTTTGAAGTGATTCGAATCTCATAAATAAGACATTATTCTCCTCAACGTGACATGGAAGTACTGTTGATGAATTCCGTTTAACATTAAAACTTACATCAAACAGTATTTTTTTATACCGACATATTACTAGTAGTTACGGGCAAAAAGGATTTGATTTTGACCAATTTGGTCTCGAGTGCTGTTACGGGTATGAGGGTGGTTGTCACTTCCCGGCTGCCCACACCGTGGAAGGTTGTTTCTTGAGGAACTTGAAAAGGAAGGTAGATTAGTGTTGGTCTTAACGACCTGGGAGCGTGACCGCAGAGCCCAGGGGACAACTGCTTGAGGCCGGTCACGCACGGTCTTTTCACTCAAGGTACTTTTGGTACTAGCTCCGCTCTTGAAATCCCTTAGTGGGCAACCTTACCGCCGGAGACGGAAATCCGTAAGATAGGGTGAGTTGTGACATTTTTAGGGCCAACATTTTCTAACCCTTCCTTCCTTGTGAGAAGGCAGCACCGCTGCAGATGCTGGTTGTCTGAGGGAAAAACCTTACTGCTGTCACACCCCTCTACAGCTCTACAGTCAGTAGTACGACTTCGCCCTCAGACCTTGAGTAGCTGCTTTTAGTCTCATCGTTCTCCAATCGACCTGCTTGGCATGGTAGAAACTATAGGAACATATGTTCCAGCCAGTATAGCTCGGTTGGGTCATCACGATAGGCAAGCCCGACCAACACGTCAAGGTACCAGCTACGGTCGGGTATTACTAGTAGTAATAATAACAATAATGATAAACGCTGAGAATAATAATTACAGTCAGTCAGCTTGATATAAAAAGAAATGTGTAATATAGGAGATTAATGTGAAAAAAAACCTTTACATATATAATATCTAGGCAGCATCATAGATGAACAAGGTGGATCTGATAAAGATGTGAAAGCACGGATTGGCAAAGCACGGACAGTATTTCTACAAGTGAACAACATCTGGAGATTCAAACACCTATCAACTAACACCTACTTCACAAACAGTTCTACTGTATGCGCGGGGGGGGAAACTTGGAGAACCATGAAAGCTATCATCCACAAGATACAAGTGTTTATTAATAGTTGTCTATGCAAAGTACTGTTGATCCGTTGGCCACACACCATAAGCAACAATCTACTATGGGAGAGGAAAAACCAGACTGTTCCAACAGAGGAAGAAATTAGGAAAAATTCGCTGGAAGTGAATACGACACACATTAAGGAAATCATTCAACTGTGTCACAAGACAAGACCTTCCTTGGAATTCTCAGGGATGAATGAAGAAAGAAAGGCCAAGGAACACATTTTACGCCGGGAAATGGAGGCATATATATGAGAAGAATGAATAACAATTGGACAGAACTAGAAAAGAAAACCCAAGAGTGAGTAGGTTAACGAATACTGGTCGATAGCCTATGCTCCGCTTAGAGTAACAAGTAGTAAGTAAGCTGCAGTAACATACATTTGAGTTTGATTTAACATTCCCAATGAATGACATGTTCACACACACACACACACATACACACAGAAACACTTCTTTCTTAAAAATTAATTTACTCACTTTGTTGAATTTGCTAATCTTTCTTCATCTGTCAACAGTAACAATGATGATGATGATGTTGATGTTGATGTCGGAGTATTTGTTTTTACACCAGATGTACTAATTTTTCTTCGATTTCGTGAATTCAATGTACCATAATTACTACCACTACTACTAATATTACTATTATTAGTAGTATTAGTTGATGCACGAAATACTGTTTCACCCGACCGTAATGCACGTAAACAACTTTGTGTCATAATTGATGTTGCGCTGTTGTTGTTGTTGCTGTTATTCTTATTTTGATTCTGATGAGTATTACTACTACTCATAGAATGAGTAGTATTTGATGCTGTAGTCGATCGCATAGATGTTAAACTAAGCGCTGGTGAGATTGAGCCTCCATTTGTTGTCAATGTTTCATAACAATAATAGGAAGAGGAAGAGGAAGCGGAGGATGTCGACGGTTGTTTGTGTTCATGAAATGATGTCCGATCGTCGTCATTATCACCATGATTGTCAGTAGTATTAGTAGTAGTAATAGTAGGATTGTTTAATGATGTTGATATATACCGATTAATTGGATCACCAGTAAAACCATGACCAATAATACTATTATCACTATGACAACCATTAATTGATGATGAGATAATGGTTAATGAACTGTCACGACTTGTTGTTGAACTATTATAACTACTTGGTTCAGTTAAATTACCAATCATTGATGAAGAAGGTGATGAAGAGCAGGATGAATTCAATCCCAAACGATTGATAGATGATGTATGTTGTGTAACTGAAAATAAGTTAATGAATAGAATAATAGAATAATATTATTATTATTATTTAAGTGGGAAGTCGTGACCAGTGTAGTTCAAACCTGTTCGGATGTATACAGGGTATGAGGTTGTGCAACTCCGTGAACTCCGTGATCAACTTAGACATTAACACTGTTAGATACCGGCCCAGTGGTCCGATGGTCAGGATGTTCGCGCACAATACCGAAGGTCCTGGGTTCGAATCCTGCGGAGTGCAGGAGTCGTGGATGCGCACTGCCATTGATGAGTGAGTCCCATACCAGGACGAAACGGCCGTTCTTCAGTGCTTCCAGGTTTCTTCTAATGGTGTGGTCTAACATTGATCGATTCATGGTTTCGAAAATGTGTAACTTAACAATCTTCACAACAACCCCGCAATGAAATAATTATTCATTGAAAAAAATAATCTTTGAAAAATTAAAAATAATATTATCAATTGTAGTTAAATTTTAGGCAACATGTTTATACTCAAAATTATATAAACTAACTGTCTAGTAATTTTATATTGATTTTCAGGAGAATCAAGGAGAGATGATGGAGAAAACTTGTAGCTCAGATGGATGATTGTGGTGGTGGTGTTTGGTTCTCTGAGCTGGTTATTGTGGTTGTGGAGCTTTATTTTGTTATTCTTCTGAACAACATCATAGGTGACATAGGATCAAGAAACAGATCAAAAAGGGGGGGGATGCAATCAAAACAAATGTGCAAACAACGACAGGTTTAAGGTCAACAACAACAACCAATCAAGATCGAGGTTAGCAGAACAAGCTACAGGTCAAACGTGGAGAAATTTGAATGCTTCACTTCTGCTATCTGAAGTTTGTGCTGATGACGTTGTTCTGTTTAGAAGAACAATGAAAGCTCGACAACCAAAAAACAACCAGCTCAGAGAACGAAACACCACCAGAATCAAGGAGACTAATCACGTGTTTGCGTTTCGACAGGCTCAATCCCGTAGTGCAACCACCAGACAGGAACTTGATACCTTGGTGGACCAGTCACACCATTTATATATATACACTAGTACATATATATAGTGATTATTTCCGATCCATGATCGCGTCGTCAATCAATATGCACTGTATGAACAGGCCATTTCGACCCATTTCGACCCGCTTACACATGATTGTCAAACTCACTATTATTAGCAATGGTGATATCCATGCAATACAGCAAGCACCCCAAGTGACAATGACCCTCGGGAATGGTGTAAAACAACCAGCACCAGTATCAATAAAATTGGTCACCCTGCAAACCAAATTTGTATATGGACTATTAACATTACTTGCCAAAGCAATGCCAAGCCAACCATAATGTTCGTAGCGAAACTCTGATCTCATAGGAAACCTTCAGCTCTATATAGCAGCAGTATAGCATTTGGCATATGGTAATACACACATATATGGCGTAGGATAGCAAGAGATGCAAGCCCAACTTGATTGCAGTAAATAGGCTCAGATATTCCTAATACCCTTTGTCTCATGTCGGGTAATGATCACAATAGAGAAGATTTGAAGTACTTTGAAGTACTACTTCAAAGTTACTACATGTACAGACACACATGAGGGTATTATTATTCATAGAGCTACACATGATCTATAGGCTTATGGAAGATCCGATAACTATACTAAATATAGCAGTAGTACAGATAAATCTCCAATGAGAGTGGTTTCTCGTCATTCTGTACTTTGTAGATATTTCTGCAAAAGTTCTATCTAATGTGTTAATTGGTTAAGACATTTCTTAGAGACATGTTCAGGGCTTCCTAACAAATGTCAAGTTTGATATTGTGATATTAAAAAGGGAATTTTCTATTTCAGTGACATTTTCAGTATGAAAATTGATCTGTTTATGGCTACAAACGGATTAGTTGTTACGCCTGCACGTAAGCACGTCATTTTGATATACTTGAACTATTACGAGTTTACCTAGTCGGGAAACGAGAGTGAGGATCGAGGATCCGGCGACATGACATGCTACTCAATTCCGATTATCCCAACCGCCATATTGAGTAAAAATAAGAAGACCTGATATGAGGTAGAACCTGTATTCTACAAGCATCCAGAAAGCACGAGATCCGAGTCCAGAAGAGAATCAGGATCCCTGACTAGGGATCCGGGACCGAGTCCTGGTCCTGGTAATAAAACGTTACAGATAATGCGTATTTATACATTTTGGTCGAATAGGAAAGAGTATCGAAGTCAGTGACATTGACAGTCAGGACAACCAATAAGAAACAACATTGGAGCACGTGACAGTGATATGTAGGACGACAATAAAATTGACCTGTAGGAATTGATCAATAATTCTCTTAGTATATTGGATGAATATCCTAACATTAGTACAGCCAGTAAAAATAGGTATAGCGCATAAACCTACAAAATATTCACTATGGTAGTCAATCAGTCACATACAACGTGGAACTTCGGACGTACGTACATCAGTTCCAGTTGCTGTAGCATGTTAACCACGGAGATGCGATTGTCAGTTCAAATCCCATAGTAGTAGAGATAGTAGCGGTAATCAAAAAGATTACGGTTCGCAGAAATTATTCAAGCAGTATAATCCAGTGAAATAAATTGGAGAAGAGAAAAATGAAGGTCATGAGAAATAGAGAAGATTAGCATTTGAGAGACGATAAAGAATGGATGCATCTGCGTCACTGAAAAAACGATTATGAGCTATGTTACTCAAAGTTTCTAACCATCGGCTACTATTGTCTCGCGGACCTAAACCTTGTAGTCAACACCTAAAAAACCAGCTAATATGGCTCAGTTCAGTTGTCAGAGAATTCATGTTTTGCTTCGACGACCCCTAGACTACACCTACACAATAAAGCATTACTCATCAGGGCATTGGGTGGTTGGGCATACAAAACCATAGCATTGCTTATACGATTGTCATCAAACTGTTTAACTCGGTGAAGATATGTGTAGTAGTGTTGTATTGATGAATTTATGCTTTCTAATCCTCCGACAAAATTTATAAATATTTGAGCACACAATATAACTCAGCGTCTATTTTATTTTCCATTTTTACTACTCATAAGTAATATAAATAAAATAATAAAAATATGATTCAACCAGATATACATTACACAAAAAAAAGATCACACAATCTAATAACACTGGAGTTGTTCATCATTGATGGACTGACTGACTGACTGACTGTCTAACTAACTAACTAACCAGTTATCGTTCAGACAATCATAATTACAAGCATTAGAAACAAAGTATTACTTGTAAATGAACTCTATAAAATAGACAAAAATTAGATGGGAAGAAAAACAAGAATACCGTCAATCTATTCAACAAAATGAATAGACTGTGTTATATTTACTCGAAAAATACACTGATGTAATTAAAATTGCGCTTTTATTTATTATTATCACTATCGTTATTATCATATTTTATTACTTGGTTGATATGGAAACACGGAAAAACTTAGCGATGCATAGAACGAGGTGTATGCGCGTATACGTATGCGTGTGTACGTGTGTGTTTGTGCGAAGAGGGCGAACAGATGAGAGTGTGGAGGGGGGAGGTTTAACAGAAAGATGGAATATCAAGAATAAGGAGAGATTAGTAAAATAGTACCAGTTCAGTGATCGCGATAAATGTACGTTTAAACCAGTAATTAGTGATTAGGATGGGTTAAAACAACTACCCTTAATTACTGTGCATTGTATTTTAAGACTGCGTCATAAATTAGACAACAAGTTAAACTAACTTACAAGAAATCAATCATAATAGATAGAATCAATTGGAATTTCGTTTATTTTTTTCCATCAAAAAGTTAAAATCAGACTAGAAAACGATGGATTAGAAGATTGTCTCATGATTCCGGTTTGACAATGATAGTTAATCTTTGTGATGCCTCTAGAAGAATCTTAAGATTGCATTATACTCGAATAAATAGTCTTGTTTTCAATGACATTCAATCACAACGTAGAAACTTCGTACGTGCGTACATAAGTTCAGGTTGTCATACCACAATAAAGCACACTTAGTCAGTCAGTTACAAAGTAGAACTTCGTACGTACGTACACCAGTTCATATTGCCATACTACATTAGCATAGAGACGCAATTGTCAATTCAAATACCATAGTGGTAGAGATAGTAGAAGAATTAACGGTAAGTGAGAATATTAGGGATCGAAGATATTATTCAAGAAGTATAATTCAGTGAGATAACTTTAGAAAGAGAGATAGAGATGATAAGGAATTCAGAAGATCGGAATTTGAGAGAACACAAAGAATGAATGCACCTGCACCATTGCAAACGATTTTCTGCTATTTCATTCAAGGTCTCTAACCATTAGTGACTTTCGTCTCGCGGACCCCAACCAGGTAGTCTACATCTACCGACATGACTCAGTCCACTTGTCAGTGACTTCCTGCATTTCTGCCATGTTTTGAATTGGCTGCCACTAGCTTTCTTTTAACCTACTCCTACACTACAAAACATAGCTCGTCGAGGCAGCCGTAGTTGTCATACAACCACCAGACTAACAGCACACAGAGAGATGACATTGCCAATTCAAACCTTCAAAGTTAAGAGATAAACTTGTTTATGTCAACGTCGTCTGTGTTGTATGTAAATTTTCAAAAATCAAAGCATCAAATAATCAATTACAAAAGTGTCAATTTATGAAATCTACCCACAAATGTGAAAAGGAGAAATTCGAGAAATAAAGGAAGAAAGCTGATTAACATGTCACAAACACACACATATTATTAGACAATTAGTTAGTCAGAGTTAAAATGTGCACACTGTGTGTGTGTGTGAGAGAGAGAGAGAGGGAGAGAGAGTAACGACTGTTGTATCAATCAAATTGAAATAGTATTATAAAAATGTTATTTGAAAGGAATAAAAAGCTTTGTAAGTAGTATCATGAAGACTAGTAAATTTCAATTAGTTTCAAACAAAACTATAGGGCAGTATTGGTTTCTTCTAGCCTACCTCAACATCACAAAATATAGCTTGTCAAGGCAGTCGTTAGTCGGGCATAGGTAAGACATGTCCGAAATACCCAAACTCGCCTGCCATCCTTACATGGTGACTGACGAAATCTCAGCACGGATACAGAAGGCTCGATTGGCTTTTGCCAACCTGCGTCACTTATGGCGTAGGCGAGATATCCGTTTGCTGACTAAAGGACGAGTGTACTGCGCGGTGGTTCGCTCCGTCTTACTTTATGGCTGTGAAACATGGACAGTGAGAGTAGAAGATATTCGTAGGTTACTGGTTTTCGATCATAGGTGTCTTCGAAGCATTGCTCGTATATCGTGGGACACCCGAGTGAGCAACGCTGTTATTAGGACACGGGTGCTAGGTAAGGATGGCAGATCAATCGATGAAGTGGTGAAACTTCATCAGTTGAGGTGGTTGGGACATGTGTTACGTATGCCCAACCACCGACTGCCTCGAAGAGCTTTGTTTTGTAGTGTAGGAATAGGTTGGAAGAAAATTAAGGGCGGCCAAACCAAAACATGGCGCAAATCCATGAAGTCACTGAAGACAAGTGGACTGAGCCATGTCGGTAATTGTCGACTACCTGGTTGGGGTCCGCGAGATCATAATAATCGATGGTTAGAGACCTTGAATGACATGGCTCAAAATCGTTCGCAATGGCGCCGGTGCATTTATTCTCTGTGTTCGCTCAAATCCTAATCTTCTGGGTTCTTCAACAACTCTAGTTTTGACTTTCTAAACTTTTCTCATTAAATCATACTTCTTGAATAATATCTTCTAATCCTAACCTCTCCGAATACTTCTAATACCTTTACTACCTCTTCTACTATTGGATTTGAATTGACAATTATATCTCTGTGCTGATGTTGTATGGCGACATGAACTGATGTACTTACGTACGAATTTCTACGTTGCATCTGACTGACTGATTCTTACCTAGTACTCGTTTCCTAACGACAGCATTGCTTACTCGTTGGGCCCCACGATTTACGAGCAACGCTTAGGAGACATCTATGATCGAATACTGGTAGTAACTTACGAATATCGTTAACTTTTAGAGGCCAAATTTCACACCTGTACAGAAAAACAGAGCGAATTTCTGCGTAGTACACTCGTCTTTTGGTTAGCAGATGGCTATCTCACCTACGCGATAAATAATGCAAGTTGGCAAAAGCCAATCGAACCTTCTACATATATGCTGAGATTTTGTCCCACATACCAACCAGACCATCAGCACTGATAAAGACTCCCAAAATCACTAAAGCGGTCAACACCATTTATAAACAAATTGCCGTAGAACGAATGACTACATCAATAAATAAACGCTTGAAAATGTCAACATATAAATCAAATCAAATCAACTCGCCTCACTTACTTGAATTTGGTTGACTTAATAAAATTGGTTTACTAATTGTCAACTGTTTACTATGTTTCTCATCATTATCACCACGATGATGAAGAATCGATGAATGGTGAATACCATTGAAAAAATTATTTGTCTTATTGAATGCTCTCGATATAGTTGATAAACTACGACCACGTGTTAAACTCCCACCAAATGCATTCTTCTTCTGATGATGTTGTTGTTGAGAAGGATTCTGTGGTTTCAATGTGGATTTCAATTCTTTTCTATGATGATGATGATGATTATTGTTAGTGAATTGAATGTTGTCAGCATGTTGACAATCCATGTCTTCATCAGCAACATCAGCTACATCATCATTGATAATGGTATTGTCAGTATAAGTGGAATCATTCATACCGTCATCATCTAGTTGGTTAGCAGCAGTATTATTACTACTATTATTATTATTATTAGTAGTAGTATGATTAGTTTTATGTTTCTTTTTGACATCTTGATCAGTAGTCGCATTGTTGGTAGTAGTAGTTGTAGTAGTAGTAGTACTAGTCATGATTAGTGGTATTGATTTGTCCAACTGATGAGTTTTATTCAGTAAAGACGACAAACGAAATCCATTGGATTTCGATGAATATTTACCACCGGATTCTTCAATCAATAGTGGTGATGATGTTCGATTGAATATGGTACTATTATTACTATTATGACGACTAGTATTAGTAGTACTACAACTACTAATACTAGTATCATTATTATTATTGGTTAATAGAGATTCTTTGTTCAAATGATCAGTTGAATTTATTAGTCTGAAGTATAGAAAAAGGTAATAAAAAATAGAATACATGAATTATTATTATGTTAGATAAGCATTGGAGTCGACGAATGATTGGAAAATTGTTTCATCACAACACAAAACTACTACTACTACAATCCCACTGTGAGTAATATACGAACAAGTTAAGACACAATGGAATATTAATGTGTGTTCCAGTTGCAAAACAAGTTGACTGTTTATATACTACTGAAATCCACAGCTTCGTGCTAACATCATGGTTCACCTTACTAGCAGATATCACTGCTGTTTCTGCAGCTTTTTGGATATCGTTGCAAGCCGCCTCCGGATAGGAGTCACTACCATGGACGCCTAACTGTTTTTCTTAGTTGCACCTGAAATATATTCTTAGCTGTGCTATCATTAAGTAGAACCCTAAGAGGTTTCCTAGCAGCGTCTTTCTTACATCCAGTAAGCCACAAACAATCACGAGCTCGCATTAGAGCATGATCTGAATTTAAACAAGTGCTCCAGAACGATCGACAGTCTTCTATTGAACGCAGGCATTGGTAGCTGATAGCGATGTGGTCTAGTTGGATCCGTCGTTAGGTCAATAGATGTTTTTCCTTTTGACTACAGTTAATATTGGCGAGAAATAGGCTGTTATCAGAGCATAGTTGCAACAGACGGTCACAAATCGATCATACATTTATACAAATAAACAGCGAATCCTTTTCCATTAGTTAATACTAGTTTATTCCTAACAAAAGTGGACAAATTTGATGAGTATCTTAGTAAACGAAATTTGAACAGTTTGAAACATTCAACGGAAGAAAAAATCGCATCGTACTGATTACTATTAGTACTACAACTACTATTACTAGTATTATTATTACTATTGGTTAATAGAGATTCTTTGTTCAAATGATCAGTTGAATTTATTAGTCTGAAGTATAGAAAAAGGTAATAAAAAATAGAATACATGAATTATTATTATTATGTTAGATAAGCATTGGGGTCGACCAATGATTGTAAAATTGTTTCATCACAACACAAAACTACTACTACTACTACAATCCCATTGTGAGTGACTTACGAACAAGTTAAGACAGGATGGAATATTAGTGTCTGTTCCAGTTGCAAAACAAGTTGACTGTTGATATATTACTGAAATCCATCGCTTCTTCCTAACCTTATGGTTCACCTTACTAGCAGATATCACTGCTGTTTCCACAGCGTTTTTGGATATCGTTGCAATCCGCCTCCGGATAGGAGTCAGTACCATGGACGCCTGTTTTTCTTAGTTGCTCCTGAAATATATTCTTAGCTGTGCTAGCATTAAGTAGAACCCTAAGAGGTTTCCTAACAGCGTCTTCCCAACGTCTAGTAAGCCACAAACAATCACGCGCTCGCACTAGAGCATAATCTGAATCTAAACAAGTGCTCTAGAACGATCGACACTCTTCTATTGAACGCCTCCATTGATAGTTGATAGCGATGTGGTCTAGTCGGATCCGTCGTTGGGTCGATTTTGAGGGTCGCCATGTCAAGAGGTGTTTTTCCTTATGCCTAAAGTTAATATTGGCCAGAAATAGGCGATTATTTGAGCATAATTACAGTAGACGGTTGCAAATCGACCGTACATATATACATAAACAAACACCCAATTCTTTTCCATTACTTATTACAGCCTACAAATCCAATAGTGAGGAAAATTTCGGTGAGGATCTTAGTACATGAAAAAATTCGCTTCATATTCATCCACATATATCTTGAAGATTATAATTAAGGACTGTTGTACAACTCCAAACAACTAAAAAGATACAATTTTCCTTTGGTATTTTTACCACATTTATTCGTCAATAATTCACATTAATTTGTAATGGATAACACAACATTTCATGAATTGGATACATGGGCGTCGGTCACTTAAAACTAACTAAAAATTTCAATACTATAAAAAGTCGGATCTTCAATGCGCACTGTTGACAATTCCTCACACTGGAGAAGAAGAAACAATGCTTCAAGGTGTTCAATGACGAGCTAAGATCAAAGAACTCAGTTGGAAAAAGATCCTAATTTTGTAATTTATTCCTGAAATTTTAAATTTTTTATGCTTTCGCGCCAAGAGACGCTTAGTTGACCTTGAGATCACATTTTTCAACTGGGAAAATCCTTGACTATCATTGGTTGATGGATTATTAATTTAGTACACTATTTTTGTGACTCTCACCAAAGGCGTTGCTATCATTGTGTAAATAAGCTTGAGTTGAGAGTGCTTAGCAACCTCAATCTTTCTGGGTGCCTGTAGAATACATTCTCTATGCCTTATCAAAACTTCTGGATATAGTTAGCAGGGCTTGGAACAATTGGATTAGAATAGCCTATCGTGTCACTGCTTCATTTATCAGATGCAATCAAAATAAAGAAGGCAGGCAACAACAGCTTAAAGGTCAATAACAACCTAGTCATGATCGAGGACAGCAAGTCATACGTGGAGAAATTCAAATACTCCACCTATTCTACATGACGTTTATATACTGGTAATGATGTATTGTTCAGAAGAACAATGATGAAAGATCTACAACCAGAGAACGATAATCTAGCTAAGATTCAATGAGTAATTGCAACTGGGGAAAAATCGAAAACATTAAACATTGTAGGTGGTGCTTAATGTTCTCTGAGCTAGGTATTTTGATAGTGAAGCTTTCACTCTATTTCTTCTGAACACAACATCATCATCAGCAGCACAAACTTCAGGTATGGAAGAAGTGAAGTCATTCGAATTTCTCCACATTTGATCCGTAGCTTATCCAGTTGACCTAGATCTTGATTGGTTGTTACTGTCCTTAAAAAACCTGTTGTTGTTGTTTGCACCTTTGGTTTGATTGTATCGCCCCCCCCACTTTGATCTGATTCTTGATCCTATATGTTTGCCTATGATTCGTCTGATTGGTTCATAAACTACTTACTTACTTACGCCTGTTACCCCCAATCGAGCATAGGCCGCCCACCAGTTTTCTCCAACCAACTCTGTCCTGGGCTTCCCTCTCCAGTTCTGTCCAATGTTTGTTCATTCCTCTCATATCTTTCTCTATTTCTCGGCGTAATGTATTCTTTGGCCTTCCTCTTTTCATTTTGCCTTGAGGGTTCCATGTGAGGGCTTGTCTTGTGACGCAGTTAGGTGCTTTTCGTAGTGTGTCCTATCCACTTCCACCGCTTCTTCCTGATTTCCTCCTCCACTGGAATCTGGTTTGTTCTCTCCCACAGTACTTTGTTGCTGATGGTGTCTGGCCAACGAATCCGAAGTATTTTGCGTAGACAACTGTTAATAAACACTTGTATCTTCTGGATGATGCCTTTCGTAGTTCTCCATGTTTCCGCTCCATACAGTAGAACTGTCTTGACATTTGTACTGTACTGAGTCAATAAATAAACATTACATCACTCAATAACAAACAAACAAAGGAACTCACTTTGTAGAATCATCCACAGATGTACTATTCATATTATGGAGTATAACATTGTCACAATTAGAATAAGTTCCATTCTCTTTATTATGACTAGTCATGGTAGTATGGAGATTATTATTATTATTATTACCATTACAATCCACAGTGCCAGTGGTATTGGATTGATTATCGATTGGGAAACATTTGAATACTTCATCTAATAACGATGAGCCTAAATCGAATCCCTAGTGAATAATTTTTTTTTCATAAACAAAAAAAAAGAATAAAAGCAATAAGATTATCATGAGATTGGCATTAAACTACTCATGAGTAGTTAGCACATGATTCAGAAATAAAATAGGGTATAGAATGAATGGAAGTCTGTCTAGTGAACAAATGTGTTGATCAAGTTGAAAGTTATAAATGTTGTTTCAGGATTGGCTTGCATCGGCAGTGATAGGGAGTCAAGTAGTTGAGAGTGTTGACCGCTTCATCGTGACCGTCTCATCAGTGCTAATTTGTGATGAAATTCCAGCACGGATACAGAAGCCTCTATTGGCTTTTGCTTCGCTTATGGCGTAGGTGAAATACCCAGTTGCTACTGAGTAGCAGTTTGCTCCGTTCTACACTGTTTATGAAAAATGGCCATCAAGAGTAATAAATATTTATAGGCTAATGGTTTCCAATCACAGACGTCTCCGAAGCATCGATAGTATGTCCTGAGACCAACGAGTCAGTGGGGCTAGTGTTTGGAAAACAGTACTAGATAAGGGTGGCAAATTAACTGAAGTACTGAATCTTCATTTGAGGTGGTTAGCACATGTGTTACGCATGCCTAACAATCGGCTACCTCGATGAACAATGTTTTGTGATATAGGGGTAGACTGGAAGAAAGCTTGGGGCGACGAAACATAAACATGACACAAATCCAAGAAGTCACTGACAAGTGGACTGAATCATGTTCGTAGGTGTAGACTACCTGGTTGGAGTCGGTGAGACAAACGTCACTACTATCGGCGATGAGGGAACTTTGAAAAAAATGGCTCAAAATCAATCTCAATGCGTATGCGAGTGCATCTATTCTCTTTGTGCTCTCCCATATTCTAATCTTCTGGATTCCTCGTCACCTTTATCTTCTACATTACTGCTAATACTGCTGCACCTACACTACCATGGCAGCTTCAACTGATTTAGGTTTGTACTAAAATGCTAAACGTATCAGCTGACTGACTGATTGACTGACTTACTGTATACATGATGTATAACATTCATGCATGGGAAATCATCAATCAACCATTGTTAAACCACCATTAGAAATCTGGACCCACTGGACGGCCGTTTCGTCCTGGTATGGGACTACTCATCAGCTGTGCGCATCCACGACTCCTGCTCCTCACAGGATTCGAACCCGGGGACCTTCAGTCTTATGCGCAAACGCCTAACCATCGGACCATACCAAGACGAAACGGCCGTCCTTCAGTGCTTCCCGGTTTCTTCTAATGGTGGTATAACAATGGTTGATTGATTAATGATTTCAAATATGTGAAAAAAAACACAAACCTCCAAAACTCTGCCCCAAAATATTCATGTGTTCATTCATTTAATGTAAAAAATTATGCATTATGTAATCAGACAAAGGGAGGGAGAGAGAGAGAGAGAGAAAGAAAGAAAAAAAACCCATCGTCCCCCTCCCTTCTCAGCTGCTAACAAAAAAAAATAACACATTCAAACAACTACACACACACACACCCTCCCCATTCAACCATACACACATGCACACGCGCACGCACATACAGATAGACAGATCAAGTACTTACAATATGTAGATGGAGATGGAGAGAGAGAGATTGGAAAAAAAAACTACACAGTTGACGACTAACTACTAACTACTAACTACTAATTGAATACAGTCAAAAGACAAATAAAAAGAACATTTTAAAACTTTCAGTGTGTGCATGTCCTATTGAAAATGTCTAGTCTGTTTCTTGCATATAGACAGGACTAACGACAAAATACACAATTGGAAACTTTGTCAGTCGTGTATTGATTGTAATAATTTGTGTTCATGTAATTTTTAAAAACAAAATTCCACTTGAATATTGAATACTGATCAATGCCGAAAAAATATATACATATATTGACTGAAATCTCATTGATCAACTTTTACAATGTTGTTGTTAACTGAACTAAATGTTATATACTGTGAGATAAAAAAATATACTAATTTTTTCATTTGTCTAACTTCTCTAGGGTTCAATCTCTTTGATGAAGAGATTCCACTTTTATAAAGTTGCAGTATCCAGTTCGATGTGATTCGGATACAAATGAAGACATTGATTGATAAAACTGACAGTGATCTGAATGCTATGAATAGTAGTAATTCGACTGCGTCACATGAGATTTCATAACTTGGAATCTTCAAAGTCAAGCGAAGAAGACCTAAGAACAAACTGCGCCGAGAATCGGAAGCAGATAGAGTAGATTGGAGAATGCTGGTTGGTCCCACGGTATACGAGCATTGCTCGTTATGAAACGAGTACTAGGTAAGGATGGCAGATCAATAGATGAAGTATTGAAACTTCATCAGTTGAGGTGGTTGGGACATGTGTTGCGTATGCCCAACCACCTAT